TTTTAACAAGATTCACTTGTTTAAAACACCCTAAATTGTTTTAACATTTACTATATAACCATTATTTCGCTAATAAATATCTAAATAGATACAACTCTATGGAAATTAATTATTTATTATCTCCACGAGCAATCACAGTTTGAGTATAGTTCTGTGTAAATGCATAGATAAACTGCGCTGTCAGCAGGCATTTCATAATCTAGAACGACAAAAACATTATTAGAAATTCTGATATAACATGCCAGTTGAGAAATGCAATAAAATACGATGTTTTGTTTGTTATATTTCAATATTCCAGAGAATATTATTCAGTGAATTAACATTATCCAGTGAATTATTCTTCACTCTTTAGCCTATTAAACAGCTTATAAACCTACTAAAACTGTAGTTTAAAATGAAGTTGATATTACTCCTTTTCTTTATTTATTTTCTCCATTTGAAAACATTAGACCTTCTTCATTTATTTTGCTTATTGTTAATATTAGTGTTGCTGCTGATGCTTTAAATAAAATGTTTTTTTATTGTTGTAATATGAAGATTAAATTTAACATGAAAGACTGCTAATTTTCAACACTCTTTTTTTAAGATGACTGAAAGGAGGAAAAACCAAAGTGAAGCATGCACTTACTTCACTCAGTCATTTATTTACTTTATAACAGTAAATAAATATCGGTTCTGCATATCGGTTATCGGGCACATAAACATGCAAATAATTGGTATTGTATCGGTTATAAAATATCAATATCGGTCGATCACTACTGTAAAGGCCCTTTCACACCAAAAGGGAAATTAATAAGCCTCAGCCTGAAGGAAGTGCCTCTGCACCTCACTCCCATTTTTTTCTTAACACAGGGACAAGAGAGATGTCACTGAATAAATGGGAATACAAAGTAACTTGCGTTATTTATATGAAAAAGTAACTCAGATATTTTCTTGTAAATGTCAAAGTAATTCGTTACTTTACTAGTTACTTGGGAAAAAAGTAATCTGATTACATAACTCACGTTACTTGTAATGCGTTACCCCCAACGCTGGTCATGTTTTTTTTTTTTATATCTTGACATCTCTTAGATTTTCAATAAACATTTAGTATATTATTATTCTTGAAAGGACAGTTCAGTGAAAAATTAATATTCTGTCATTGCTTACCCTCATGTCTTTCCAAACCCAATAATTACGTAAATTTTGTTTTTTTTACACAAAGCTAATGTATAACTTGCAATATAAGTGATATAGACCACTTCAATTGAACTTTTACGGTATTTTTGGATTATATTTCATTATATTGAAACTTTTGTGTTCCACATGAGAAAGTCATACAGTTTGGAGGGACTTGAGGGTGAGTAAATAATAACAGGATTTCATTTTTGAGTGAACTGTTCCATTAATAAGATATTATTAGGTAAGTTAAATCCTTGATACCTCATCTCCCATGTGCGGCAGAAACTCAAAGCGCATGGGCGGGCAAAAGACCTGATTGTACATGTCCATGATTTTATGCTTGTCACTGCGAGGGTCCAGGTTGTCCACAGCGTTTTCAATGATGTCCAGACCCTCATGGCGAGAGGTCTCCAGGTTATACTCAGCAGACAGATACGTCCTTAATGTGCGCGCCAAGCTAGCATGATATCCGAGGTCACAGCACTGTGGAAAGAAGAAAAATGAAGGATGAGAGATAAAATATTTCACAGCAAGCCTGAATGACATTTAGATGAACAACAATCCAATCTTTCTTCCTGCAAAGACAGTATAAATGAAATTTTATTTGCCAAAATGTTTTCATGGTGATGCCTATTTTTAGCAGTCATGAGATTTCACATTTCACTCTAACAGGATGAACTGCAAGTCAGGTAGCATCTCCTGTATCTCCATGGATCGTAGTGTCATTAAAATTACATGATCTAAATGAGTGAATTTCCTCCTGCAGAGAATCGAGACCGTCAGTATCTATAATTAGAAGAACAGGCGCAGTGGGATATCCTAGCTAATTAGTTTAAACGTGCAACAAATGTGCGACTAACCTCTTTTAGCAATGTGGAGCAAGTTTAAATTAGCTTGAGGGAAACTTTAAACCTCTATGAGTCATTGTGATTAGGCAGTTATTGCTCTATTGGACTGTAAATCCATATATTACGCTTTAAAGGGTTTGAGTGCAAACACTAGACAGTCATAGCCTGTGGCACAATCTATTTAGCATTACAAAGCCACAGGAGAGGAGGTGTACGTTGGTGAAAATGTAGCACAGTAATATCACCAAGTTTAGATTCTGTATTTACACATTCTTGGCCCAATAACAGCACTGGTTCACATTCTCTGCATTTTCTAATAATCGTAGATCATTAGAAGTACATCCATACTATTTGAAATTATTTACTGTGTTCATCGGTAATACTGAAACCAGTATTTGCCCTAAGACAAACATATTTCAATCTAAAACAGAAAACCACTGCTTAACTTCTACTGTGTATTGGGGTTAGCAAGGCTTGCCATGACCGAATTGTTTGAATAAACCTCTTTACCTTCGGTTCAGTCAGTCTCTCTGAAAACAAAAAAAAAACAAAAACATGACAGACCCGCCCTACTTCTGACCATGCACTCTTAAATGTAAAAGGTTTACCTTTGTATGTCTGGAGATGTATTTTTCTGTGTCTATCTTAGAGAATTATTTTTCACTGATTGGGTTGTAGATTTGGAAATGACAAAAAAGGGATGTTCAAAAGCAAAAAAACTAAACAAAACAAAACAAAACAAAAAAACAAAACAAAACCATACCAAACAAAAACACAGAACCAAACAAATGTAAGCAATAAACAAACAAATAAATACATACAATTTCTTACTTCTGTTGCACACAAAAGGAGACTTTTTTTTTGGTCCAGTGAAAGTCAGTGGGGTTTAATGTAGTTTTGGACCCAATGACCTAAAATATATTCTCTGTGTTCACCAAAGAAACAAAATGATGACAGGGTAAGTGATCATAAATCATAACAGAACTCATTTGGGGTGAACTATCCCTTTAAACAGTAAATGTAAAGCCCTCCTGGTTTCTTTGAAGCACCAGTACCATGGGTTGTGGCACTTCTAATTTTTTTGGAACAGCTAGCAAACCATAATTTCTGGTACAAGGTAACTTGGCATCTTAGTGTAATTCACCACGGCAGGCCACAAGTACCACATGAATTTCTATATACCCAATGGTGGGTGTTGGAGTTTTTAGTGAGTTGTCAACAACCTAACCGAGAGCCCTTTACAGAGTTCTTCCAACTTTAACCTATTAACTGTCTTAGGGATTTACATCTGTTTCAATATAAAATAAACAGTATAGAACAGTATAATAACAGTATAGAAAAAGCCTAAAGGTTTACTGTCTGCTAAGTTTTCCTAACAAAACGGTTACTACAAAGATTTGCAAACAGTATGTGACTGCAGTAGTTTGCATAGAGCAATAAACCTTGGCTTAAAAGTTATCTATAATAGCTTATGTTTCCTCTTTGCTTTTTTGCTGTTATCAGGAATTTCCAGTGTGTGTGTGTGTGGTTTTATGTTTTCTTAAATTGCTTCAGGATATCAGGGCGTACTGATGGACAGCAATGTGACACTCTTTGCATCTCTCAGCAAAAATCAGAGGTTCGGTTTATCTACAGTGTGTGTACAAATGCTAACATGACAGAGACAGCAGAGACGAGCCAGCCAGGGAAATATTTCAGTATACTTCACATCAGTCTCAGCAGATTTTTTGATAGGATGATACCAGTGCGACCGACAGCCTGTTGTTGTATATGCAACAATATTTGGTCAATTAAATGCATTAAAATGGTTTATGTGCAATTAAGCTAGTAATTCCATTTTCTTGTTATAGATCTGACAAAAATCATTCTGGTTTGGCAGAATAACAGTTTTAATCTTCTTTTGTGAAGCCGAATGAAGCTGCAAAACAGATTAGAAGGTTACAGTAATGGTGATTAATAATTCAATAAAAACACAAATACCAGAGGGAGAGGGGAATAAAATCAGAACACATATCCAATTCACTAAAAATGACATTCTAGCAAATGCAAAGCAAACATTTAGAGAAAATAAATCAGGCAAGCCATATTAACAAGGAGACACTTCACCCACAATGCAAAGAGAAACAGATGGAGCCGAGCCCTCATCAGTTCAACTGTTTAAATCCCAGCTGATACACACAAACAAACGCATGCCTCATTGTGCATACTCACATCAATCATATCCGAAACATCGTGGATGTAATATTTCGCCACAACGGCGTTGGTGGCTGTCAGGTTCAATAAATAGTCGTTGCGGGCTTTAGTGCATTTCAGTTTGTTCTCGGAGTACTTGGCTTGCCTCTGGAAAAGGGAAACAAAATGGAGAAGAAATCAGTTAATATAATAAATATTAACTGATTTAATATTCCAATCTACAATTGGAATATAACTGGAAATTCAAAAATGTATTTCCACATGATCAAACTAGTAATTGATAATCCTATATGGAGTAAGTTCTCACTATATCAACTTGACATTGATTTAAGAGGAATGTCTTTGCTTGAAATATATAACATTATCTGAGGTTAAAAAAGCCATTATTTACAGCATATGTATATTTAAAATTAATTAAAGACTTAAGTGTTTTCAGCTTTTAACAATTCATGACACAAGAAAAAACATTTTAAAAGTCGATATACAACAATATCAAACCATTATTATAGCCTACCGAAATTGTAATAAATGACATGAAATATTTTGAAACATAAAACACGTTACTTGCCCCAACACAAATGTGACAACTTGCCCCAACCTGATATTTACAAAAAAATATGCTTGTCCTGAGAACACAGGGCAAATTTTTGGGTTAAATTTACCTTCACAAATGTAACTTACCTTGGGGCTATTATAAAAGTACGACAAATTTTCCATGCTTTTATTTTAACTTGGATGATAGAATTCTGATGACTGACTACTTTTCATTTACATTTTACAGACACATTTATCCAAAGTGACTTGCATAGCATCCATGGCATACATTTTATCAGTCTTGCTTTACCTGGGAATCAAACCCATGACCTTGGGGCTCCTAGCACCATGCACTACTGATTGAGCTACAGAAACTCTTACAGAGACAGTTACTGAGATAAGCCTTGTGACAACTGTCCCTTGAGGAAACTAGCCTCAGTCTCCACTATATACTAAATTATTATTACATAGTTTATTTAAAGACATAACATATTATATATTTTGGAGCGTACAGTACGGTGGCCGAGAAGTGCAAAGCAAATCACAATTCTGAAAACAAAATAACAAATTACAAATGCAAATGCAAGTCTAAAAAACAAAATAACAATTCAGAAAGCACAACAACAATTCAGAAAACATTATAACAAGTCAGAAAACACAATGACATTGTTTTCAGAATTGTGATTTGTTTTGCGCTTCTCGGCCACCGTAGTACAGAGATCATAACTCACACTACACTTGAATAAAACATTAAAGGGGTGGGGTGTAAAATGTTCCATATACAGTAGTTAAAAAATGTGAATAAACAATCTGCAACTTTTAAAAGTATGTAAATTCCACAGAACAATAAATTGATCATTTAAAAAATGTAAATTCGGAGAGCATTAATAATAATATACATCATATAAGTTCAGTGTGAATTGAAAAAGACACAGAGACTGAGTCTCATCTGCTTGTGATCTCCAGCTGGGTCTTGCTGAATTTTGCATCAAAAAGCTTGAGCACTCAAAGCAGACAGCTGCTCTAGTATCATTAATAACAGTTGACTGCTACATAATTGTATTGACAAAACAAAATCCTTAAAGGTGACATATCATGAAAATCTGACTTCTCCAGGTTTCTGTGGCGCCGACGCTGTACCAGGTACTGTACCCAGTGAAAAACCCCCAAAAAGTGAACCGTACCGAGCCGTACCGTGCCGTACCATGCAGTGGAAAAGCGTCATTATATTACATATTGTAAAAATGGGCATAATATGTCACCTTAAAATGAAGAACAAACACCAGTGATTAGTACATGTAAGTTCAATTTAATTTAACAATTGAATACTGATCAAATGAGTTGAGTTCGATAGTGAATAAACAATCACTGTAATGAAAAGCAAGTATGACGGGAACAATATATACTGTAAGCTGACCATTATTTAAACTTAAGCATGTTGGTAACCAAATAGTCTCAGTTCCCATTGATTTGCATTGTATTTTTTGTCCATACAATGCAAGTCAATGTGAACCGAAATGGTTTGGTTACCAACATACTTCAAAATAACTTCCATTATGATCCACAGAAGAAAGAAAGTCATTCAGGTTTGAAATAGCCATTATGGTGAGTACATGATAACAACATTTTCATTTTTGGGTGGACTTTCTTTAATCGGTGAATTACTACTTACAAAGCAGCACAAATCATTCCGGAGTTCAAATGAGGCCTTTTAATCAAAATGATTAGCTGGGTTTGTATTATAGCAATCGGTTTTAAGTTTAAAGATTACCAGCATATAACCTGAATAAATTATGCAGTATCTGTTTTTTTTTCTATTGTAATATGCACATTCAATCTAAAAATTAGGGTTGCACAATTCTGACAAAAATCATAATTGTCAGTTATTTCAGTCTACAATTGGAATATAACTGGAAATTCAAAATGTATTTCCACATAATCAAACTAGTAATTGATAGTCCTTTAAGGCCACTGAGGCTTGCAGGTGTGCTAAGATCACGCTGGAGTCTGCTAGCCTGCAGAATCAGGTCAGGCTGCAGAGAGAAACACAGAGCATCCATGGTTATAAATAGTGTGAGGCTGAGTGGCGTTCATGCCAACATCTCTACGCATTGCAGCCTGAAAAGGGGAGGAAGGGAGGGAGAGAGAGAAAAGCCGAGAGAGAAAGAAAGCGACACAAAGAGCAAAAGTGACAAAAGTGGCTAGTAAAGGAAACCGAATTCATTCACATGAAAACTGCCTCATGTGAAAAGCACAATATTCGTAAATGTTCATTTATAAAATTGTTATGGTGCTATAGTCACTATGAGTTAGCTTCCTGTAAGTTCATAGAACCAACTATGAATTAGATGATTTACAGCTGAAGTCACTGACCTGAAATGTTGAATCTGGTTTGTGTGAGTAGTCAGCCATTCAGTCTCCAGGCTGTCTACAGTCTCACTGACCTCATTGTCCATTCTTAGATAAAGCTCAGCCTACATTCATTTTTATAAACCCCATCCATCAGGCTCATTCAAACCTTAGTGCCTGCACTGCTTTTAAGAGCCTATGAGAAGGTAACTAGGAAGAAGTCAGGGTTGTTACTAGGTGTACGGGAAATAAAGAAAAAAAATGCTATCATGATAGGGCTACACAATTTGGGGAAAAAATATAATTGGGATTTTACCTAATAAAAACTGTGATCATGATTTCAAATGTGATTTAAAAAATGTATAGTGATTATATCAATATGACTATAATAATAATAATAATAATAATTGTTATTATTATTATTAAATAAAAACGGAAGAATTAGAAATATTAGTCTTGTAATATTTTATTGTAACAAAATCTATTACAATTATTACATCTAATACAATAATATTAATATTAATAATATTAATCTAATACACTTATTATTATTACTGTTATATAACATTTTATTATAAATATAACTTTTATTATAAATAAATAAAAATATTAAACAAAGTATTGCCATTGAAATATTTCACTTTAAAATAGAGTATTAAAATATAATAATAATAATAATAATAATACAAATATTAAACATATACATTTTTATATTAGTAATCGTTTAACATGTTAATACGTTTATATAAGTAATACATTTAACATATTAATTATTAAACGTATTACTTTTGTAATATTTCACTGTAAAAAATTAATTATATAAGAAAAAAATTATTATTAAATTAATTAAATGTCTTAAATTAAGCTTTTATTTCAAAGGAAAAATGCAGGAAGTCATTAAAGCTTCTCATTTGTTGAAAAAAGACTTGAAGAAAAGAGGATTTATAAGCACTTCTCATTAGAAGTAAGTGACCCAAACTTGGAGCACTTGAAGAGAAGAGTTTGTGTGGAACAGCATTTACTGCCAATTGAAGCTCAGGGTTTGCATTCGGAAGTTTTCTGGTTTGATCCTCGCAAAGAGGTGTCACCATTGTGCTTTTGAGCACTTAACCAAGAACAAGGGCACTTAACTCAAGGTTCCTCCAGGGGGATTGTCTAATAAGATTACTGAAAGTAGCTTTGGATAAAAAGACATTGGTCATGATGATGCAATGTGGGCTTTCACTTCCTTCCACAGTGGTTTTCGAAGGAAGTCAAGGAGTGACAAAGGGCTAGCTTTATTCTCCATTGTGCACAGATAATATACACCACTTGAAATAACATAATCTTTCTCTTAAAGGGTCACAATCCTGCTTGAGAGTGTCGGGAGAAGAAATGAATGTGATTCTAGGCTGCAATGGCCCTTTGGTTTAATAAAAGCAGGGAGGCATTATGAGTCACTCTACTGAGCATTATGAGCTCTGCCGCAAGCTCACCAGAGTAATCTCACCTTCTCCTTCATCTTCTCAATCTTCCTGACCAAGCTGCGGCGCTGGGGTCGGTCCTCATGGCGCAGGAGGTTGACGTTGAGGTCTCCAGATTTGCTAAACTGTTTCTCCTCTTGTTTCTCGGCCTCCTTCAGCTTGCTTTCTGCACTGATGCTCTCCGTGTGATACATATGATACGTCTTCATCACCTGTAGGATGATATAAAATACTATAAAGACTAGTTTAACAGCATCACACTATATCCTAACCAGATGGGTAATGAGAAAATCTGTCATGTGAGTTTTTGTCCTAACTAACTTGGAAAACAAATGATATTCGCAGATAGTTTGATTTTCATTTCTGCTGTTTCACTTGGTTGCCCCGCCCACTCCAAAATCTCATTGGTCTGAAATCCTGCTTCAGAAAAATGCCATTTAAAATCCTCTCAGCGATGTTTTAAAAACATTTTTGAACAAGCTAATAATCTTCCATTAAACTGCCAAATTTCATTGACATTTTCACATAATTACACCAATGGCGTTTGGCATCAGTGACATCAAAACTGCACTCTAAAAAGTGCTGGGTTGGTTCAACCCAACTTTGGGTCAAATATGGACTAACCCAACCGTTGGGTTAAATTTGTACATTAAATTTTTAACCCAAACGTTGGGTTAGTCCATATTTGACCCAAAGTTGGGTTGAACCAACCCAGCATTTTTTAGAGTGTGTTGGAATACTGAAAGCACAAATTATATTTTAGATCTATGGTGCAGGGGAATACTTTCAGAAAAAAAATACACCAGTTTAAAACTTTTATTCAGCAAGGATGCACTAAATTGATAAAAAAAAAAAAAGTGACAGTAAAGACATTTATAATGTTACATAAAAATGTAAATATACTTTTTATTATTCAAAGAATCTTAAAGGCTGCTGAAAATTCAGCTTTGCCATCACAGGAATAAATTACCTTTTAAAGGTAATTTTATATTAAATTTATATATTATATAATTTATATATTAAAATAGAAAACAGTTATTTTAAACTGTAATGTTACTGTCTTTCCTGTATTTTTTATTACATAAACACAGCCTTGGAGGAGAGTATTACCTTTGCGCATTAAACTGGGACAGAAGAAAGTAACAAACACTGAAAAAAACTTGTACACTTCCAGTTTATGTGGGACAAAGTCCTGAATTATACTAGAACTTTCATAAAAATGTAAATGAGAATATGTACTGCAGAAACAACCCAAGGCTTTAAATGTCAAACAACAAAATGAAACATTTCATAAATGTTATTCTCACATTTACTCAAAATGAAGACATCTATGAGTTTTCTTGGTGATACAAAACAACTCAATCCTGACAATTCCTTGAAATGATCTCCAAACTAGTTTAATTCCAGAGAAGCTGTGCAGGTCTCAGTTTAGAAGGATCAGTTGTATTCCCGTCAGCTCTACAGAGCAGATCACCTCATGAATATGCATAGGAGTATGGACTTGGCAGCAGAAGTATCAATAATCCTGCCTCTTTCCACCAAGTCCAAGCCTTCCATTCAAGCCCGGGATGACAGAGGCTGAAGGAGGGGACGATCTAAGGACAATGAGATTCTGAAGGAAGTGTGTATGAAACACAAAGCTGATTCAAACAAAACCGCACATTTTGCTGACTCTGATAACAGAGCTCTCTGTATGACTGAGGTGTTCGCAACTATGTAAACTGTTTTACCTCATGTCTGATTGGTGTGACCCAGTCTGCTATTCAACCCCATTATCCTCTCTGCTCAAACAATAGAATAGAGCAAGTGAAAGGGGAGGGGGGTTCACTGCACCATTGCCCAGCTTTCTCCCACTCCTTATAGCCGGCAGATGCCTGTCTGATGGTGTTTTCAATAAAACGCTTATTAAATCAGCCAGCCTGCAGGCGTCCACAGACTGCTTATCTGCACCGACCCTGACATTAATGTACATACACTCAGCTATTTCACTCTAACTTCACACCCACAGATCATCTGATCATTCCAGAGGAGGTCATCAAGTGCGTCCGCACGATGGCACTATGCATGCTTTTAGTGCTGCTTCCTCTGTGATTTAAAGGTGAAATGTGTCTGTGCTGCTCCAATATAAAATTCAACAGCAAAAATAATTGTCTGTGTCCAGGTTTTCCCCCATTGTCCATTATTTGGACAAACAAGTAGTCCTGTCTCAAATTTACAGCATTGAAAGTTAACATATAAAACTGCTCAAACAAACAACACTTTGAAAGCACCACAGCCACCACGTTTACACTTTTTGTGGAGGTTAACCTATAAATGGCTATGGCTTTAACCAATAAAAGGACATGTTTACCCAAAATTTAAATTCTGACATTACTTACACCCTCATGTAATTCTCAAACCATAAAACTTTCTTTCTTTTGTGGATCACAATTGTGAATGATTTACTTTAGGGGTGTAGCAATCAAAAAATGCAAATTCAATGCATCATTTACTGAATTTAATAACTGATAATAATAACTGAAATAACTATAATGATATCCAATTATGTGTACATGTATTACCTAAAAATAAAATTTAGGTAATACAGCATCAAAAATGATCAAAATGTTATATGAAACGTGAATTGTACCAGAATCTGACAAATCATGAAAAAAAACTCTAAAGAATCAAAGTCAGAGCAAGTATTTACAATCTTATTACCTACACTCTTATTTCTGAATATAAACTGAATATAAAAAATTACAAATGTTACCTTCTATCAATATGACATACACTAATTTTCTAAGCTTGGGGTCTGTATGATTTTTTTTTTATGTTTTTAAAAGAAATTTCTTATGCTCACCAAGGCTGCATTTATTTAAACAAAAATAAAGTAAAAACAGTAATATTGTGAAATGCTATTACAATTTAAAATAACCGTTTTCTTTTCCAGCATATTTTAACAATGTAATTTATTCCTGTGATGACAAACTTAAAATCAGCAGGCATTTCTCCAGACTTTGGAAATCATTCTAATATGCTAATTTGATGCTCAATAAACATTTCTTTTAATTATCAATGTTGAAAACAGTTTTGCTGCTTAATATTTTTTTGTGGAAACAAAAAAAAATACTTCTTTCAGTTTTCTTTGATGAATACCTTTATGAATAAGATCAACTTCGTCATAAAATATGAACAATTTTAGTCATAAATACTTCAAACTATTGACATACACATGAGGAAGCCATGTTAAATGCTCTAAATTCAATACACTTACACCATTAGCTTTGTTCTTCGAACTAATATAACATGTTCCAGTCATTAAACGTTACACAGGATCCAGGCCCAATGTCCCTATAGTATTCCCTGATGGAAAAAGCTGTTTCCTCAGGCTCATTAGGAAGAGGATGCAAAGGATGTTTCTCAGAGAAGTGCAAGCTGTGTCTGGCTCCGGACAGATCACCAGCTCTTTTAACAGGGTCTAGTAAACATACACAGTCTGAAATGTCTTCAAGCTAACCGATTCTTAGATGGTGTTCTCTGGCATTTCACATGCAGTTGTGTAAACGATGCAGCTGTCACAAGGTTGATGGAGGGCAAAATGTGCTAGAATCTGCAGTATGCATGCTTGAAGAGACCATTAAAACAACAGCCTATTCTATCCTATCCTATTCTATTCTATGCTGCATGGAATATTACATACAAACCTTACACACATCAGCATATATGTAACATTATAACCAGATAATACAACTTAGAACTGATCCATCAGAATTCAATGACATTATTTTATAATTTTCAATGACACAAAGAAGGCTAAACAGTACAACACTCAAAGTGACACAATCTTAAATCTGCAGGCAGGGTGAAATTTTTACCAATAAAAATACTAAGCAGGTGAGTAAATTTGACAGGATCTATGTACTCCAGTGCAGGAGAAAATCTAGGTTAGCACTCAGCTCCTCCCCAAGCTGTCACCCATCAGCTCATACCCCTCAAAGAGAACACAGCAAAGGAACATGTTTACAAGCATGTTTGATGGACATGGCTGGCAAACCTCCAGCATCAAAATTGTATTTACAGGCATGTTGAGGTGAGATGACCTAAACTGTAAAGAGCAACGCTTGGGGAAGATTGACATTAGATAAAGCAGTGGGATCTCTTTAAACACATGTACTTATGGTATACATGTTGTTGTAATTAGGGAAAATATTTCAATAAAATGTAAAAAGGTCTCACGCAAATGATTTTTAATAGGATGGCAAATTCTGCTCTGGTACAGATCTGATGAAAATATGTAGCTTGCAAAATAACCATAGTTTAACTGTGGTATTTTGTAGTAAGATCACATGTAATACACATGTAATACTCCTCCTCGTGGTTACATCAAACTAAATATGGTTTCTATAAAAATCTATGGTGTGTTTTATGAAAACAGTAGCTTATAGCAACTCCGAAACTAACTATAACTCAGATTTTCACAGCTAGCGTCAGTAAATCTTGTACAGTATATTCACAAAGGAGAGGGTAATATTTAACATTTTAAAACAGTTTATATGTATATATAAATATAATATATATAGAAATGTATATAGAACATTTTATAAAAATGTAAAATCTTTAGCTGTGACTAAATTGCTATTTTTAATAAAACATTATTTTTAAGGAAATATTTCACAAAACAAAACAAACATAAAAAATCACTGCTGAAACCATCTGTTTTAAAGCAAAATATTTGCCTTTAAAAATCACCAGTTTACATGTTACCACACACTCTAAAAAATATTGTTTGGACGCAACAACAAAAAATTAACACAACAGTTTGCATCATTTTTTTTGAGTTAAGGCAACTTCTTCTGAAATTAAGTTCACAAAATGTTATTTTTTGATGAAACAACACTTAATGCTGCCAGGAAACCAATCTTTTAGCATTTTCAACCAAATTGAAACAGCATGTAAGATTCTGGACACAATGCCCTGTGAGTCTGTTCTCAACCTAAGCAAACGTTCTACTCTTCAGCACAATGGTAATCTCATAAAAACCACCAACATAACAGAAACACTTTTAAATACTAATATAACCGAACACTGAACATTAATAAATCTTCTCCTGTTCTGATCTTGAATAGAAATGCATAAAATATGAGTTTATTTCTACATTACCGCTCATTATTCAGTCACATGCAAAGCATGCTGGGAACCTGAAACGTGAACTTGAAAAAATTATTATAAA